GGCGAGGCGGACGCCAGCGACATTTGCAAGTTAGTGCTTTAAACGTTAATCCATTTTGTGCTTAATTCAAACTAATTAAAAACGGCTCTACTCACGCATCAATGATAACGGAGACCAACACGCGTCTGGGTTAAAATTATCTAATAAAGTCTATTAAAATAAAATAATAGTACATACAAAACTGATCAATATTGATCTGCTCGTTCTTTATTATTAGTTTATAATAGACACGTGTGCATATTGTAAATGACGGAGGCGTGTGTGTGTGTGTGTGTGTGGCAGGAGCAACGTGAGCGTGGCGGGCAGCGCGGCGCGCGTGTCGCGCGAGGCGGCGGGGGCCGCGCTGGGCGCCGCGCCGCCGCGCGCCGCGCCGCAGCGGCTGCCGGACACGGGTACGCGCCGCGCCACTCACCAAACTTCATATATGTTTTTTTCGATGGCCGATGCGACTCACACGTATTTTTACGTTGCAGTGGACAAGTGGCACTATATATCCAACCTGTGAGCGCCGCTGCGAGTTCGCCGCGTGCTTCCCGCGGCTGTAATGTGACATTCTGCTCGTCCTATTTATTTTTATAATTCGCATCAATTGCTAAATCGTATCATTTGTTATAACGAAAATATTGTATTAACAAAACGGTGTTCGGTAGTTCTACAAAGTTTTAAAGGTACAAAACGTATTTAATGAAAAAACCGTTAACAGCGCTGTGGATTTATTGTAATTTGTAATATATAAACATACGTGTAAGGATATTGTAAAACAATAGCATAAGAATCATGATTACATTGTGTGAGATTACTTAACATTTTGAGTTTTTTGAAGTTCCCTATTACGATTTTAGTAATGTTAAAAAATTTTGTCTGTCCAGTAGTTTTTGAGTTTAATGATTACATACAAAAATACTTATCTTTCGTCTTGTGACATCATAGCTGCTAGCCGCTACATCGAGCAGTATTAAAAAACTACGCAACTCTCGGAAAGCTGACGTTGTCCGAGGATGACTGTACGCCGTGTTTTCCTGCAGATTTTGTTTTATATCAGTGCCAAATTTCATTAAGATACATGTTGAACCATTTCAGAATTAACTAATAAACATGAAAACGTAAATATCCGCGGGAATCGTAACTATTTCCGGGTACTTAAGTACCCTGTGTTCCTCCAGACTATCTACATTCTTGCCAAATGTTTTCGAGATTCTTTCAGCCGTTTAAGCTACAAACTGTAGCATCCATTCATGCAAACTTTCACATTTATAATATTAGTAATTCAATCAATTAGTAGGCGAGGGTCAGTGACATCATCACCGTCAAGCCTCAAGCGCCTCAAGCGCCTCAAGCCTTTAACTCGGAGCAGGTCACTACGAGTATTAATGCAGTCGCGAGTTTGAGTGTCATTTGCGCTTCAGAGCCAAAAAGGCCGAAACATTCTAGCTTTTTACAAGCTTTTATACAGAAGAAAGTTTTGCATATTTGTATGTACCACTAAGCCGATTTTAAAAAATCTTTCACCATTGAAAAGGTAATTTATCTGTGAGTAACATAGGCTATGTTTTTATTTATTTACTTTAATATTACGGGGACCAAGTTGCGAGCAACAGCTATGTTGGATACATTGTCAAGAGTTGCTACAAATAGTTACTGCCGAAAGAGACGCAGTATCTAAATCTATCTAAAAAAGTATCTAGGTACTCTATGCCTAGAGGTCTGAATTGAAAGGCTGGCCACCGAGGGGGTTTTAGTGGGTACAAACCTCACATAACCCTGTCTTCTCCCAGAAGGAAGGGTATCTTTTTGAAGACCTCCCCCCCCCTCGATACAAAAAAAAGGTACTATATGTGATAAACATCTTGGCGACTCGAAATTTCGCATGATTAAGTGCGCAGATATAACGATGCGCGCGGAGTGCCCTGAGCAGGTGAGCAGCGCGCAGCTCAAGGTCAGTCGCCCGCTAGATTGAAACATCAGACTACCGAAAAGTTAACAACTACAAGTCGTTACGGAGCTGCTCAATCAAACCGCGGGTTTCCCTTTCGACACATCCATACAGAACATAATATTATTGTCTTAGTTTTTTTTAATTGAATTGAATTGACAAAATGTTTCAATAGACGAAACACAAGGTAAATCGTCAGGGAACGATTCCGTTTTACAGCAATCGATCGTTGTAAATATTTACTGAATGCAAACACTTACTGAAAGTAAGTACTTATTGTAAGTATACACTTACACGGCACGCTTTTGTTCGAGGAGCCGCGGGCGGTGGCGGCGGGTGCGGGGTGAGACAGTGAAAGCCTATGTCTATGTCGGGAGGCTGTACGGGGCCGGTATCGACCGATCGCGGGTGGCGCGGGGCGCAGGGCGCGCGGCGGCGCGGGGGCTCGCTGCGACATAGACACACCACACGGCGGCGAAACAATTTTATCTGTTCATTGCTATATCTTTCATCTTCCTTAGTAGCATCTGCTAGTTTTGTCCGTATTGCAAAAGTCTTGATGATCAAAAGGATGCTGAAGAATAGTTACTGAAACAGATGCCGTTGCCTGAGGCTGCCTAGCCCTTAGTAGAATTGTTAGATTCAATAATTTCGCATGTGACTCCCGGCCGGCAGACGTATGACCCGACAAGTCCGGTGAAGTAATATAAGTACCTTTCTCACTTATCAATACAATATGATATTGTAACCGTGTATGCGTTGATATCTTTTGTTGTCCTTCGATTAAACTTTTTTTTTGTTAAAATATAGCTAGACATTGAAAAATTTCTGGTGTGATGTGAGGCGAGGTGCATGGTAGCGGTCTTTTTGCCTTGGTCGAGGGTCGAGGGGACTGGTTGGGGGCCGCGGGGAACGGGATGCGGGTGCGGGCGCAGCGCGACGCGGCGCGGCAGTAGTGCGGCGGCCGGAGTCTCGAGTGCTCGCGTGTCCCGAGCGGTGTGAGTGCGTGCAGTGGAGCAATGCGCTGCGCAGCGTGGGCGGTGGCGGCGACGGCCCTGCTGGCGCTGGCGTCCTGCGAGCGCCGTACGGACACCGACTTCGAGTTCGAGGACGCCCCGGTGAGCGCCGCCGCCGCCGCTTGCCTGGCGCGTCTCGCTGACCTCTGTCAGTCCCGCCGTCTCAAAGACTTCGATATGTCGTACTTGCGTCCACTCCCCCGCCCTAATCGGATTTCACTGTTACTTTACCTCTCTATCTAGTTTGCCTTTGCCACATGTCAATTAATAAACTATCCTAATATTTAAAGGAGAAAATAACGTAGATAGGACATGTGGCCTTTGCAGCAACTTGATATTCTTAAAAAAAAAACTTAAAAAGCAAGAAAAACTACAGCTCAAAAACAATTATAAATACTTTCTCTTTATTATAGCCGAAGCCATATCTTAGCTTAGAAGCTAAGATATGGCTTTTTTATATAGGTATTTAGAAATACCTATATAAAAAACGACACCGTTTTCTTAATAGTGTGGTTATGGAATGAATTGACGAATGGATAAATTTACCTGTCCAATAATAGTACTCGTTAGGAGTTGTCACCAACTATTATATTATTCCCCACGAAACGAACATTGCTTACAAATGAATACATGTTTTAAAGAAATGTCTCAAAAGATTATCCTGGATACTGGAATAAGGCCGCGAAGTCAACGAGAGGTGAGGTCTGTAGACTCTACCGGGGATACTAGGAGACTGGTAGCTTTAATAAAAGATGATGAACCATATCCAACAGGACAAAGTACATATTAAAGAGAAATTACCAATTCAACGTCAATATTTTGCTTTAAAATTAGGCACCCCCAAACATTAAGCGCCGCAACATTAAAAATACTTAAGGCGACTTCACTCCTTCGAACCCCAAAATTTGGTGCTAGTTAGTCTGGCTGCGCGAAAGGCTAGGAAACCTAGTTTTAGTAGCGTCTGTGATTGATTCTTTTAGTAATCTGACCATCCATTCTTGTGGTATTGCTAAAATCCTTAGACTTGAAAGCCATAGAATTCAGAGAGTCAGATATCTGAATAACATACTGACAGTTAATGGCATATTCGTTACCAATGAGTGACTTTTTGCAGAGTACGAATCCTGATTTGAAGATAAAGGCCGCCTGGTTTCTGAAAACTAAGCATGCCTCAGACTAGCTCACATTAATAGCAGAGATGTTCAACTACGTACTGTGTATTTCAGGATTTGCAAACGGCGCGTTCGAGACGCCCACGGCGCTACATCTATGACCCGCAAAGTAAGTGTAGGTCCTCGCCGCCGCCTTAG